TATATATATATATATATATATATATATGTATATATATATATATATATACATGTATATATATATATATGAATGTTTCTGTTCAGTACCCTGAGACAACTTTTGTTGTGACTTGGTGCCATATAAATAAACTGAATTGAATTGAAATGGTAAAAATAAGAATAAAATAATCTCAAGCAAAAGGTTGATAATTGCAAAAACTTTCACAAGTTGTTCAAGCTGAAAGAAAAACAGATTATGTTTCATTTTAGCACCATAATCTGGACATGTACTAAAATTTAAATCAAGCAGTCAATAAAAATGTAGCTGAAAATGAGAAATATTTTAGAAAAACATGTACAGTTTGACTGAAGATGCTCAGATTAGTGATCGGACTCAATCCAAACTACATGCATTCTGTTATCACGTCACCATACAGTGATGGACATCTTTAAAACCATACAAAATGAGTAAAAAAACCCGTCAAAGACCCATAATCTAAACTATGACTTTATAATGTAGGCCTTTGCAGTTTGGATTGATGCAAATATGACTCCCATGTACATTAGTCCACATCTGTTACTAGTGAAGCTCAGCTAAAACAATCATAAAGGGATAATATTACACAATGAATATTGTACTTGGAAACTTTGCAACGCACCGATGGCACGGTTCAGCAGATTACCTGGAACAGGTAAAATGGGTTACCTGGAACATTGCAGATTAAATGATCTGATCCTAATTAGGAATCTGCATCTTGCAGAGAGGTTCAATCTTCTCATGGAGGAACAGTTGTCTCATAGCAATGAGCTTAATTGACAGATTAATGGCCGGCAAAATTATTCAGCATTCCCAAGTTCAGTCAGTCACCTGTTTATTGTGTTTTAAAGCAAAATTTTCCTAAATTCCCTTTTAAAGATCTGTTAGGGAAAGCCAAACAGAAAAAAAAAAATAACAGTGTATCAAGGTTCATGCTCAATAATCCAGGTAAAAAATCCAACACAGTTATATCAGTTCATCAGAACATTTTCTTCTTTTTTTTATTTGTTGAAACGTTTTGTCCTTCATCCAAAGGACTTCGTCAGTCCGAGGAGCCACAACAAACTCAGTCTGCAAACAACACACTCACATAGTGTACCAACCAGTTTGCTGGTGATAAGATGACCTGACTGAACATTGCTTAGTTTTTTTAACCTGGATTATTGAGCATGAACTTTGATGTTTTGCACCACTTTGGCTGTGGCTGCCTCAGAGGAGTGGACGGGGGAGAGGGCGGGCCCCAGAAACCATCTTATCACCAGCAAACTGGTTGGTCCACTATGTGAGTGGGCTGCTTGTGGACTGAGTTTGATGTGGCTCCTCGGACTGATGAAGTCCTTTGGATGAAACGTATCAAAAGCTAAAAAAAAAAAAGAAAGTGTCCAGTTGAATTGACTTAACTTTGTTGGAAACAATTTCCTCCTTACAAATAGACAATAAATGTTACTTTAATTTTCAAATTCTGACTATTTAAATATGTCAAGAATACAACAAAATACATTGGTTTATGGGTTTAAACATTATATAACTAGAATATTATTTAAAATTATTTTAAATAAACTCAATTGACCATGCTTTTATTTTGTAGTTTCTTGCATTTATAATACCAGACTTTACCACCAGGTGGCGACATTATGCTGTTGACGGTGCACCCTTTAGTTGCGACACTGTTCAGTCGACCTTTCTCCTCACTGTGACAGGATGTACTTTGAGTACTTTAATAAAAAATAAAAAGTTGCACAATCAGTAGCACACAGCCAATATCAAGAGCGAAGTGTCTTGTTTATGATTCCCACAGTCCCGTCATCAAACAGGTCCACAATGATTCGTAGCAGCAGATTTCTTTCTTTATTACTGCATTTATGTCTCTAAAGCTGCATTGCATGAATACACCGGCCCACTTCAGACCACCACACAAGTCTCGGACGTTTCAGTCGAACACCAACAAGAAATACACTCAATTTCAGAAGGACATGTCAGAGAAGTGCACTTCCACACATTTTACCGAGCATATATCTAAAACATGGAGGCACCATTACAGTTACAAAACTATGACGTAATTTTCATTCAGGTTACACACATAACTTGACGTACAAGAACATAATTGTTGCTGCAAGTCTGAAATCTAGGAGTGTTTGTCCACATGTTAAAATTAAAAGGGATTTCCTTCTCTTGGGATGTGCTCCAAAACTTGGAAACAGATATATATATTAAAAAAAAAAGAATATAAAGATGCATTTAATTTATTAAAATACAAAGCTTAAGTTAATGTGTCATTAAAAATATAAAATATTTTATAAAATAATCATTTATATAAATGTATAAATGCGTCTTCTTCTTCAGAACTTCATCAGTTGAAATCCAACATCCCACGCCATCGAAGCACGTGTAAAATCTGTCCCCTTTAAGAAAGCTTTTATCATTTCATGCTGAGCTGAAGGTCTATCAGTTGTTCTTCTGAACAGAGGAGTAGTACTCGACCAGGACTTTCCAGGCCTTCAGGGCCATGAATCCGTCGGGAGGGTTCTCTCCGCTCCGAGCTAAGTTCCTCATCTTGGTTCCGGAGATGAACTCAAACTCAGCTTGACTAAGAGAGGGAAGAATTTGCAGCATAGAACATTAGAAGTTAGAGGTTTTTAGTTAAAAAACAACTACGGATTGAGACAATTTACTCTTCACTCACCGCTCTGGGTTGTAGAAGTCCATACCCTTCTTGGTTTTGTTGTAGGCAGCGACCCTGAAGGGAATGATCTCCACCGAGGTGAGGCCGGGGGCCATGGTGAGGACTTTCCCTCCATGGGTGGCATCGTACAAGTCCTGCTTCGTTTCAGGATGAGGCATGCCTGCCGGGTCGCGGCCGACGATGTAGAAGTTAGCTCCGGCGATCATTCTCGCTCTGCAATGCCACTGGACCTGAAAGACAAAGATTTTCAGTCACGTGCGGTTCCTCTCACCCAGCAGTGTCCTCCAAGTGACTCGTTACCTCAGTGGGGCCGGCGTACATCATAGGTGAGGGGAAGATGGCGACGATGGTGTTGGCCGGGTCCAGGACGCCCTCCTCCAGGACGGCAGCGTGCTGCCTCATCCTCCACTGCAGGGGCACGTCGTCATCTTTGGTCCAGCCTCCGAGCGGGTGTAGGAGGAGGACCGGGTTCTTGTATCCCCGCTCCAGCAGACGCCGCTTGGTGTCCTGCATGAGGAGGGCGTGGCCGTTGTGGACCGGGTTACGCAGCTGGAACGCGAACACAGCGTCTAGGGAGAAGCACAAAGTTCACACATGAGCAGGGACCGCTAACAGAATGACAGCAGCTGGTTCTGAGTCAGTTCATTCTGATAAACGACAGCCAACAGGCACAGCGTGCACTTTAAACTGCACGTGGAGTTTTATTAGAAATGTGCAACTACAACTTTGTGTGGTTAGTGTGAATTTATCTTACTGTTAACAAATCCTTTGAAAACTCAAAAACAACCAATGCGTTTAAGAATAATGGGCGAAAATATGGCTTCATGTTAAAAAAAAACAACCACAATCAAAGCAACAGTTTGTTCTTTAAATGCTGTGGTTTTCTCTGACTCAAGTTAGCACAAAACAGCAGCTTCTGTGCTATAGACAAATCTGAGTTTGGTCAATAAAAACTAAGTGTTTTATAAAGCTAGGTGGGAGACATTTGGTTCTGTCTGGTTGGGTTGGAAACAAGTTTTTGGGGAGATGGGACAAAATACAGAACAGCAAAATCCAAGTCAACATGCACCAGAAACTAAAACTGTCCAAAACACACACTGCTTTTTCATTACACATATAAAAAAAAAAGAGGAATAAATTAAACAAATGTGAGCACAGCAGCAACGTCGAAGTGAATAAGTAACATCAGCTGATAACACTTATTTACTGAATAACTCCACACATGAGGAAAACAAAACCTTCGTGCATCCACAAATTTACCATAGCACTTGTGATCTGGTCCTTAGTTAAGCTTTTATTTCTTTTTTTGTTTTTCCTGAAAGACAAAATGTATTACCGGTACTTAACATACAGTACAACTTTGTGTGTTCACTGTATATATATTTTTCATTTGAGGTACAGTAAATAAAAACAGTACATCCTTTGTTACTGACACAGCTATCTTAATGACATTTGAAGTAATCACATTAAATGTTCATATCCTGCACTTTTAATTAGGCCTGTCACGATAATCAATAAATCAATTACTCGCATGATAAATGAAAATTATCGACCTCATTTTCATTTATCGGCTTTATCGTTTCTTCATTTCTCTCTCTTTCTACTGAAGACACTGGATGCTCTTCACTGACCCCTCCCTTTCTCTTTTCTCTTTAAAATCCATCTTAACCGTCCAAAATCGTGTTTTTGGATCGTTAAAAGCAGCTAAGCTGAGAAGCTAAGCTACAAGCTAAGCTACTTGGGAAAAATCCTCAGCTCCAAAATTCACGGTTGCGTCCCGTGCCTTCATGTAAAAAGTTGTTTTTCTCTGCAAAAATAAGCTGAGAACATGTTTACTGTTTTTTTATTAAAAGCTTTGTGTGAAAAATGCTATGCTAAAGAGCTGAAACCACACCGAGCGTCCGCCATTTTGAGAACCGGAACAAAAGGAAGGAGAGACAGCCCGTGTCACGTCAAGGGGCCTCCCTCCCATTTTTCTTAAAGAGACATGCTGCTCGCTCCCTCACCATCCATCCTTCGGTTCAAACAGTCTTATACTGCCACCTGGGGGTCAATAAATGTACTACACTCAAAATAAAATTAACCAACATTTCTTTTCAAATTTGACAATAATTACTAATTATTGTCAATTTTCAAACTACATTATCGTTATTGCAATAATTTCTGACAAGTAATCGCACAGCAAAATTTATTATCGTGACAGGCCTACTTTTAATGTGCCATTTCTGATAAAGACTTGTCTCTTAGCTCCAACGAAATGCTTCTCGTATTTTAAAAAGTGTTTTGAAGACAAGCTAAGGTGCTTTACCAACCATAATCCGGTACTTTGGATGTTTAAACCTAATCCAACAAGTTTTTAAAGACAGACAGCATTAAAGTGAAGGAGAACAAACAAACATGGAGACATATGAGTACATAGTTTAACTACATACTTATAAACTGTCACCATTTCAAAGTGACATTCTGTTTTCTCCACTAGTTTCTCACCTGCTCCCATGTCTTCGAACTTCTGCTGGAGCTCCTTAGGAGTAAAGCGGTACTGGTCCAGTCCATCATTCCATTTGATCCGCTCCAGCACCTCCAGCTCACCACCAACCAGCCAGTCACCTCCTTCCATAACCATCTGCACAAGACAAGAAAACAGAATTGATCATTTAGTGTTTAAATGCATCAGTCTGCCAGGGAAAAGAGAACAAACGATGGAGGTTTTTGATGTGATGTGTGTGCGGTGGACCTTTATGTACGGGTGTTGAGGGCAGGTGGTGCCCCACTGTCGGGCACAGCGCTCTTCTTTCCGATGGGGGTAGAACTCGGGTTTTCTGAGAATAGCCACACGGGAACCCTGATACTCCAGAGCTACAGCTGCGCAGCCGTCCAGCTCCTGCTTGACCTCAGTGCTCACAGGCAGCACGATGGGAACGGACATGTTGATGGCCCCGCCTGACAGAAAAATAAAAATTAAAAACACTCAGAAAACCAGTGCAGTCCAACATTAAAGGTTAAAGTGAACGAGAAACATGTTCTGTGAAAAGGCAGCGTGACTGCTGAATGACTTTGCTGAGGAAGCTGAAACTAAGTGATTAAAGCCAAAAGAAGCAAAACGCTAGCTAAAGTAGTAAAATCCAAGCTAAAAGTATCAAAAGGCTAGGTAGAAGCTGAAGTAGCAGAACAGTAACTAACAGCTAAATTTAGCAAAGGGTTACTTAAAAGCTAAAAGAAGTAGAATTCATTCATTCAACCTTTATTTAGATAGGTAAATCCCATTGAGCCTCGAGAACTCATTTACAAGAGAGACCTGATAGAATAGTGGCTAAAAACTAAAAGTAGCATAAGGCTAGCTAAAAGTATTAAAAAGCTATTTAAAAGCTGAAGTAGCAAAACAGTAGCTAAAAGCTACATTTAGCAAAGGGTTACCTAAAAGCTAAAAGAAGCAGAATGGTAGCTAAAAACTAAAAGTAGCATAAGATTAGCTAAAAGTATTAAAAAGCTATTTATAAGCTGAAGTAGAAGAACAGTTGCTAAAAGCTAAAATTAGCAAAGGATTACCTAAAAGCTAAAAGAAGCAGAGTGGTGCCTAAAAACTGAAAGTAGCATAAGGGTAGCTAAAAGTATCAAAAACTATTTAGAAGCTGAAGTAGCAGAATAGGTTCAAGGTTTTTTTTATTGTCATTCGCATCACATGTGGTACACAAGGTGGAATGAAACTGTGCACTCAAGGTCCCAGTTACACACAAAAATAGTAGCTAAAAGCTAAATTTTGCAAAAGGTTACCTAAATATAAAAGAAGCAGAACGGTCACTAAAAACTAGAAGTAGCATAAGACAACAAAAATAGAGTAGCGATGTTGAAGCAGATTTCAAAAAGAGCAATGTTCTTGATGGAACTCAAGAGATCGTGTATTTCTATAGGGAAAATATTTGTAATTGAAGTTAAATTATGTTCAAAAGTTTAAGAGGTACAAATAAAAAAGAAAAGTCATTGCATCCATCTCCTGAATGAGCTGAAATATACAAAATATACTAAAATCACACAAAGTATGTAGAAAAAGTTAAATTTACAAACAAACAAAAGAAATGTTGGTAAAATCTATAAACCAGGAAGCAAAAAAAAATCAGCGTTCACACAACAGATGATGAAAGTGCAGGGCTATTCAAGTGGCGGCCCGGGGGCCAAACCAGGCCCACGGTTGAGCTCAGTTCGGCCCACAAATGGGTTCATTTTTTTAAATTAAACTACCGTAGATTTTAAACCGTAAAACAAACTTGCTTAATAATAACTGCAGGATGTCCGGCCCCTGAGCTCTTGGCTTTCAGTAACTGTGCCCCCCTGAGCAGTTTAGTTGAAAAGTCCCGTGAAAGTGTGTTTGTTTCTCACCGTCCAGCAGGTTGCCAAAGTGCAGGACCTGAAGGAACTCCCTTTCCCTCATGAAGCCCTTTAGAGGACTGGCCCAGCCCTCGGCCAAAACCTGCACCCACTGAAGATCCAACTGAGAACAGAGAGAGAAGAAAACGTTAAAAGACAAAAAAAGACACGCTTCCTTCCACTTCAAGAACTTTCTACAACTCCACAGTTCAAGCAGGTCGTGTCGCGGCTGCAGAAAACCGAGGAGCTGTTCTTGACGTTCTGCTGAAGAGACACAGCTTCTCTCCATCCCGTCCTGCCTCGTGTGCATGCTACACAGATGCTCTCCCCCTCCCCGCTCCTCCCTCACGAGTCACGCTGTGAGAACACATCTCCGGCTGCGAAGTACATTTGTGAACACCAACTGTGGAAGAAGTCCTGGACATTCTCCGAAATCTCTCTAGAGATGCAGTCTGAGACAGAGCCGAGCGTTCCTGCAACTACGGAGTCGTTCTCTTAATCAGCGACACACTGGAACTTGGACTTCCCTCCGAGTTTTTATTAAAACGTCACACTCAAGGCCGTTTTAGGCGAATTACCTCGGTGATGCTGATGGTGGGCAGAGTGTTTGAATCGGTCACAGCAAGATTTAGCTTGTTCTCCGGAACAAAGAGCTCGATCACCTCCTCCAGGATCTCGCCCGGCACGATGTTCTGCATTTAACACACGGAGAACGAAAGTAAGAAGAAAAAAAAAAAAAGTCATCCCTATGCATAGAAACATTTGTTAGTTATCATTCCAAACAAGTTGAAAACGTGAGGGAGGTTCCACGAACAAATACCGAAGGCAGTGAGCATTAAGATAATCATTTTGTGTATTTGCAGCAGTCTTATCTTTAAATCATCAAGTCTACATTCTTGAGAACAGCAGAGGAGCTTTTTTTTTTGAGGAAGGAAATGACTTGTGAGACGCCAAACAGAAGTCATGGAACTTCCTGTCTTCTTTTCTCTCCTTCAGACTTTTGTTAGCTTTCAGCTGATCCTGGACAGTGTCCAGCAGAGCGAGGGGTGTGTGGCTCCAAACAGTTCAGAAAACCTCAAATCAAGGCTTTATTTCTTTTTAAATAATCTTTATTTCACTAAGGACTCATGCTGTAAGGCTTCCTCAGAATTTATGGTTTGAAGATATCACAAAACTCAAACAAGGAAGTTATGGTGTTTCTTACACCTGAAGGACTGCGTCTGTACAAATCACTGCTTCTTTACTCGTACTCTGGACTTTAAATTGGGGTTTTCAACACTTGATAGTTTACGTCTTGATTACTTTGAGCTCTAAACTCTTTCCCTTTCGATTCTCAAAAATATGTGCCGTTGCATTATTCCTCCTTATACTTTCCATTTTGGCTCCTCGTAAGATTTCCTGCTGATAATACCAAGAATTCTCCTAAAATGTATGAAGTTCAAGCGATAATAGCTTTTAATGGATGTATTTTGAGTCCCTTACTGTAGTGGTTCTGGGTCCACGAGCCGGTGCTTGTGGGTCGGCAAAAAAATAATAATTTTTTTTAACAAGCACGTAGATGTTTAACAACCCGTTAAAATACAACAAAATGCAGGAGATCACATGTACTTTATTCAAAATTTTCTGGGGGAGGACCCCCGCTGCCTGCTATTTGCGTTCTGGCATTGATCAGTTTACAAATGAAGCCCTGTTACTTGGTACGACTACTGCTGTTATGATTCTGTTGTTTTATGTAAAAGACCGTCCAGATGAGCTGACTGACCATTGTTGGATTTTTTATCTGGATTATCGCGCATGAACTTTGGTGTTTTGAACCACTTTGGCATGACTGCCTCAGAGGAGATGATGGAGAAGAGGGCGGGCCCCGGAAGCATCTTAGCACGAGCAAACTGCTTTTTTTCCCCACTATGGAGTATGTTGTTTGTGGGAATCAGTTTTGTTTGGTGGCTCCTTAGATTAAAGAACGAATGAAGGACGAAACATCTCAGCAAAAAAATAAATAAATAAATAAATAAAACAAACTTGTCCAGATGAGCTGACTGAACATTGTTGGATTTTTACCTGAATTATTGAGAATGAACGTTTGTGTTTATGTAAAGAGTTTACTGTAATAACGTGATGAAGTGGCAATACATTTATTATGTTCATTATGTGAATAGGTAAAGTTTTAAAGTGGTTTTTGATTCTGTTAATTTTCTCAAAACTGTAATTTTGAAGTTGAAATTTAAAATGTTGTTATTTAAGTGTGTCTTAAATGAAAAATACCCCATGTTTAAAAGTATAAAAATTGTATTAACACTATTAAAGAACAGGTATTAAGTATTCATGTTACACAAATTGCATTACAGAGACAAATTGAATTATTTAATAAACATGAGGGTTGGGGGGGGGGGGGGGGGGTCCCTGAAACTTTTTTCTCCCCTCTAAGGGGTCCTTGAACACAAAACATTTGAGAAGCCTTGACTTACAGTATAATTAATATGCATGTTTGATTTAATGTAGCTGGAGGTGTAAGGATTGTGACCAGATTGTTTGTGGGTGGGTTGGGGGGGGGGGATCACTAGCTGGAAAAACTGGTATTTCCAGTCAAAAGAAACCACCTGAGATTAATGCAGAGGTGCCTGTAGCATTTGATACGTCCTGAGCTTATGTGTCTCTGTGCACATTGATAAATGTACCCAAGTCTCTGCTGGTAAAATGCCCTTTCATCTTGGTGTACTTTATCCACACAAAAAAAAACATCTAAAATCAGTGTTTGACTTCTTGGTTTTCAATCCCAAATACAACTAGTGAACAGTGAACTTTCAACTATCTTCCATTTCGTTCCTGAGCTACGTTAAGAATCGTTGATGTGCAAATCTCTTTGTAGCCGCTTGCAAATCTGTTCAATACGTTCACAGTAAGCCATTCAACTCAGCGTGGCATTGTGCCAGTCACGCTCCGTGCGCCAAGATTCCCCCGCAGCGATAAGCATCGTACAGGAACCGGAAAAAAAAAAACATTCGTCATGTTGCCACAGCAATTTCTTTTGTCGCGTCACTTGCTACCGTCAAGATACGCCCCGTGAAAATCTTACTCGTGTAAATATGAACATTATCAGTAACCTGTCCTCCAGCAAAGCCCCAGCAGAAACAGTGGCGGTTATTAAAATTCAATAACGCATTTGAATTGTGCGATTTCCGCCTGTTTTCCCTCAGTTTGACTTGGTTGAATACATGTGCTGTAATATGAGCAGGGCCTGTAATGTGATCTCCAGTGTTATCTAACAAATCTGCTGCTCCTGTGGATATTTACACTAAATAACCCCCATTTTAATTAATTTTTCAAGAAAAAAACCCTTATATATTCTTTTTTCATGTGTCACCGAGCCAACTTGAGTGCATCTTACAATGAAACTCCAGTCTTTGGACCTTTAGTTGAACATGTTTTATATAACAGTCAAAGAATGGACTGTTGTTGGTCAAACCAGTCTTTGTCCCAACATACAGGAGCTGCACCTCATATAGAATTCACACGCAGTGTTTGAATAAACTGAATCCGTTCCCACTCCATCCTCTGATTTGTGCTCGTCTAATGATCACCATGATCCACTCCACCTCAGGTTGGACATCGCAAATTTCTCCCATTTCAGCTCAACTTCTTTAGTTGAGCTTCTGTGATTCATAAAGTCAGTTATGAGTATCACACTATCTCTCTGATTATTTGCGTTTTAGGAAGTCAGATATAAGGTAGCAGCCGCTCCTTGATTATATTGAACTTGCTTTGTGAAATCCATTAAGGGCTTGTTTAAACAGGGATATCTGTTGTTCTTCTATTTACTGACAGACAAATTGGTGTTTGCATTTGACATTTACATTAGCTACAAAGTGGCCCTCAAAGTCACGTCACACTTTAAGGCTAACATTGGCTTTAACATTAACACTAGCAAAGAAGAAGAACCTTGACGGTTCCCACACACCTGGTCTCTGAGAAGCTCCAGCAGCTGGTGGATACACTCGTTCACTGAGAGCTCTCCGGTTTTCAGAACGAGCTCCGGTGCCTCGGGGCGCTCGTACTGCGAGTCAATCCCAGTAAAACCTGGCAAAAATAAATCGAACCACTCAAAGACACTTGAACGAGATGAAGGGGTAAACATAACACAACAGCTACAATGGGCTTGCACAAAGGGTTTGGGATTACTCGTATGATGAAGTGGTTACCTTTAATCTCTCCGGCGCGGGCCTTCTTGTACAGTCCTTTCACGTCCCTGCTCTCACACACTTCAAGAGAGGCATGGACGAACACTTCAAGAAACTGCAGCCCGGCACTCTCGTGGATCTTCCTCGCCTCAGCACGATCCTGCGAAACGAATCCCAAAAATCTTTTATCAAACTTGCCAATGTTACACGGGACGCACAATCCCGTAATGGTTATGGAAGACATTTTCTGACCTGGTCAAAGGGAGAGATGAAACTGGTGATGCAAACAAGGCCAGCGTCTGCGAAAAGCTTAGCTACTTCAGCGACACGTCGGATGTTCTCTTCGCGATCGTGATCAGAAAAGCCCAGATTCTTGTTCAGGCCATGGCGAATGTTGTCTCCGTCCAGTGAGTAGCAGGGGATCCTGTGGGACACGAGATACTCTTCCAGGGCAAAACTGATGGTGGTCTTCCCAGCACCAGACAAACCTAGCGGGTATAATTTACAGGATATCACATCAAGCTTTGTATAATGAAGCATTAGACAAAAATACGGAAAGCTGTTTGTGTATTTATTCAATATCCTTGATCTCAAGGGTCTTCTTTGCCGACTAGCTTGCGATTACAATGCACTAGTTGCACATTTTGGGTGCACACAAATTCAACAAAAATTATATTTTTGCCAACTAGTGGCACTTTACCCACCAAGTTGGAGCAGAGGCCATACGTGTCAGCCATTTTGCCACACTAGCAGCGCCAAAGTACCAACTTGTTGGCATTTCAACACACTAGTGGAACCACAGGAGCAAACTAGTCAAAAATCGTGTCTTACAAGTGACCAATGGGCAAAAAAAGCCCTTACACATTAACTATTAAACATTAAAATGCTCAGTAGTTGATGTGTTTTTGTCTTTACTAACAAACAAGAGCAGTTCAAAAAGTGTTCAATACAAAAACAACTGGACTTTATTTGTAACAGAAGACGTTTCGCTCCTCATCCGAGGAGCTTTCTCAAATCAAAGAGCAGTGAGTAAGGGATTCAGGTTATAAGGCTGAGTGAGATAAGACACACACACACATATGTAGATTGGCTGTTCACACCTAAACACCTTAACAGTAGGTCTTTGTTCATCTAATTCACAGACGAGGCCCCTCTGTTCCCATCAAGTGTGAAAACTGGCTGGAAATCAGTCTTAAAATTGCATTATATGTTTTTGAAAGTGGAAATCTGAGGTCTCCTCCTCTGTTAAGAAACAGCTTTTCCCTTTTTACATAAATTGCTTCCTTCACCCCCCTCTCAAACCATCTGTGTTCTCGGTCCAAAATGTGCACATTTTGGTCCTCAAAAGAGTGTCCCTTATCTGTGAGGTGGAGGTGAACAACTGAATCTTGTCCTGAAGAGCTGGATCTCCTGTGTTGAGCCATGCGTTTGTGAAGAGGCTGTTTAGTTTCTCCAATGTAGAGGTCAGGACAGTCCTCGCTGCACTGGACCGCATACACTACACCACTCTGGTTGTGTATGGGTGTCTTGTCCTTAGGGTGGACCAGCCTCTGTCTGAGAGTCCTGCTGGATTTGAAATGTACTGGGATCTTGTGTTTGTTGAAGATCCTTCTGAATTTCTCTGATACTCCAGCAACATAAGGGATGACAATGTTTTTACGTCTGTTGTTCTCCTTTTTCTGTTTATTAGTGTGTTTTGTAGATTTCCTGACTGACTTGACAAAAGCCCAGTTAGGATATCCACATGTTTGGAGAGCTTCTTGAATGTGTTTCTGTTCCTTTTCCTTCCCTTCTGTCTTCGTGGGGACGCGTTCGTACAGCCGTGCTTCTGTCTGTAAAAACTGTCACTGAACTTGAAATAAGTGGTGGAGAGGCAGAGATCCAACAGGGTGCAGATTTGGTCTGGGGTGAAGTTGGTCCTGTTGATTAAGTCCTTGTCTTGTAGAAGTTGTTTTCTGATGGTTTCTACTACTTCAGAGATGGGTATGCATGTGAAAAGAGAAGTCACATCATGCGATACAAAGGTTTCTCCTGGGGTTAGTTTCAAGTGTTGAACTTTGTTAGCAAAATCAATGGAGTTCTTTATGTGATGAGGTGTGTTTCCAACAAGAGGAGCTAAAATACCAGCCAGATGTTTAGCAATATTGTGTCACTGAGTTCATGCTGCTGACGATGGGTCTGAGTGGTGTTCCTTCTTTGTGTATTTTTGGAAGTCCATAAAGACGTCTTCTGTTACAAATAAAGTCCAGTTGTTTTTGTATTGAATGCTTTTTGAATTCATCATGTCCTGGATGACTGAGAATCTTCACCAGCAAACAAGAGCAGTCAACAAATGTCAACTAGTCAACAATTAGCCCAAAATTCAATTAAATTCAGTTTATTTATATAGCACCAAGTCACAATAGAAGACTTCTCAGGGCACTGAAACATTCATATACATAAAAAGTAAGTTAATAACAGTATTTATCTGAGGAGCAGACTGCTTTGAGTTTAACGTCATCGCAGACTCTCATCTTGAACAAGCTTAAATGCAACAGTGGAAAGGAAAAACTCCCTCATGAAGAAGAAACCTCTAGCAGAACCAGACTAAGGTCTTCGACAGGTGGGGTGTGAGAGGAAAAGGAAGGAGGAACAGATACACAATGGCAGGTCGAGAATTGCATGTAAAGACATAAATAGCATCAAATGAAAATTATTAAATTTTAACAAATTATTTAAGGAAATGAGGTCAATTTGTCCTCCAGTAGTTTAAGCCTAAGGCAGCATAACAAGCCAACCTTAACTATAAGATTTATCAAAAACGAACGTCTTAAGTCCAGTCTTTAAACTGGACAATGTGTCAGCCTCACGGACAGAAACTGGAAGTTGGTTCCAGAAGAGAGGAGCTCGATAACTGAAAGATCTTCCTCCCATTCTGCTTTTGGAAACTCTAGGAACCGCAAGTAAGCCTGCAGTCTGAGCGCAAAGTGCTCTGTTAGGAAGATATGGAACAATAAGATCTGTAATATAAGATGGAGCTAGGTTGTTGAGGGCTTTGTAGGTTAGAAGTAAGATTTTGAATTCTATTCTGAATTTGACAGGGAGCCAATGGAATAGTCACTACTGAACCAGTGTGACTAAATTGGATCTTACTAGTAGACTAGTAGTGCCCAGAATGCTCACTAGTCGACTGATTAAATCTTTGGGTCACACTGATCGACTAGTGGGCACATTTGACAGTCACTAGTTGACTAGTAGGCATAACCTGGGTTAACTAAGGGGAAAGGTTTTAATGCTAACTAATTAACTTGTACAAGACAGTTGTTAACTGTTGGTTGGATTAAATAAGTTCCTATTTCTTCCAACTCCTTCTAGAACAGATGAAAGAGTGAAATGTACATTATCTATACTTTTCTTCACTACTTTTTGTGTATTTTATTCTTTTATATGGACCTGTGTGTGTGTTATTTTCTAGTTTTAATTATTTGCTGCGATAAAAAAATTGTTTGCTTCGGTAGTCCAGTGTATTTTAGGCTACTAGTTGGGCAAAATGCCTGCCAAGACAACTTTTGTTCTAACTAGTTGGATGAAGTGCCACTAATTGGCAATAAGGTGTTGCCAGTATGAATGCTGGTTGAACTACTGGGACCATATGTACAACTATTTGCTATCAAGGATACCAAATGAACAGCATGTGATACAAATATTGACCAAATGTTGGATTACAGATTAACGTACCTGTGAGCCAGATGGTACAGCCCCTGAATCCCCCCCTGGTGCCCACGACCTGTCCTCTCTTAGACCTGCTGACATGGTGGGCTTGGTACACCACGTTGGTAGACCTAACGAGATCCTGAAGGAGATGGGAAGAGACTCAGACAGCAGAACGGATACCAGTGATGAGCATCTTTGTCTACGGAAAAATAACATGCCTCTGCCATGAAAAGTACCTGACGCTAACATTATGGAACAGTCATAGAGGTTGCAGAAAGTGGCAGCCAAACTTGGAATAAATGGGTCTTTAACGACTTGTAGACAGGAGAATTGAAGCATGGAAGGAATGGCGGTAGGGAGAGGACGGACCGGATGGACAATGTGTCCAGTGTGCTGCCTGTGGCTGAGCGATGATGTGGCAGCGCTCTGGCTCACCTCATCCCACGTTTCCTTCATTCCAGCAACTGCCATCTTAACCAGTTCATTCAGTGCTCAGGGAGTTTAACACACTCCACCCTGACTATTTGCGCTTTCCCTGGATCTCAGTAAACACCTGATAACCCCTGTTTAAAGGGAGTTCTCAAGAGAAGAAGAACAATCAGGGCATTCTCCACCCAGACTGACGTTCTTCTGGTATTTTCTTAGCCTTTCCTTCATCGTGCTACCACTACTCCTGGTATTTGTCCCAGTACTTTGATTTTGCTGATAGAATAAACAGATAAAACAGAAAAACAAACAGAGATGAACTGTTCTGTCTTGAGGCACTATCTCAAATAAAAGGAGAGTATCGAACGACTGAGATTACTTTATCAACTTTAGAAAATTAAATTAACTATTATTCTCTACCAGCAATTAACCTATGATAGGTACATTTATTAGTTGTTTCTTCTAGGACAGGATTATAAGATGTTCATTATGCAATTACTGAAAACTAAACCATTTGAAGAAGTACGTTGCAACTTTTAGCGTTCGCCCAAACCATCTGTCAAAATACTTGATTAATTTATCGCCTGCTGCCATAAGGTGAAGGCGGACAACAATGTTTTGCCCACGTCTCTGTCCATGGCTGTCTGTTGCCACAATATCTGATGAACCGCTGAGCAGAAAGTAATCACTGGTTGTATATCTACAACTGATTAACTTTTGGAGACAATCACATTCAATAAAACTGCCCCAGCCAGGTGACATCTAAAAACACAACAATGGTTCTAACGGAGTCAGTTTTACGTGTATTGAGCTAAAATTTGGTGAGGTAGTAGCTGAGACTGGTCTCCAACACATATTTTGAGGGCTAACATATTGCACATAATGTTGCCATTACCTGTTTAGAGTAAACACCGTTGGCAAAGTATCTCACGAAACTCTGGACAGATTTTAGTGCAACTCTCGGAAAGTAGTCACTGGACGTACATCTACAACTCTTTAAGTTTGGGAGACAACGCAATTTACAAGCTAATCAAACTTAGCCAACCCCCCCCCCCCAAAAAATAGCTATATGGCTGTCAATTTTCAAGATATTGCACCAAGATTAGGTGTCTTTGTTGTTGAGAGTTGCTCTAACACAGGACTATTCAACTGGTGGCCCGTGAGGTGAATTTCAGTCCAGTCCACCAATGAGTTCATTAAAAAAT